TTTTTATTTTAAAACTTTTCTTTACCTTTACATACAGGCCTGTGATCACTCCAAGCAGCAAAAACTTCAGCTATCCGTTGACAGGTGATGCTCTTTGCACCCTGTAGAACATAATCTTCATCACAAGAGAACTGCACAGTTGATCCAAGGCTAAAATTAAATAAAAGATTAAAAATATGATTATGAAGGTATAACATCATAACTAGGCTCCACTTCTACTAGCAATATCTAATATGGATATTGATGTACAAATATGGTACATCAAATATGCACCAGAGTGACAAAAAGTATCTTACTGGAAAAAAAATGGGAAAGCATGACTTGTAGAAATGTATAATAAAAGTCATAAACTGATAATTTACTGTAAGGCGATAGAATGTATATTTTGGTAGGAATTGTACAAAGTTAAAGCAATTATCAAGTTTAATTATTTTGTTATTAGTTGGAGAAACCAAGATTAAATAATTGACTAAATTTACCATCATAAGTAGATGGTAAATGTGAATCATAAAGTGGACATCCTGACTTGAATTCCAGCACAGTACTTGTGTTCATACCATATTATCATATTTTTCTGGCATGTACTTACATGTGTATGTATTTAGACATGTCTTTGTATACCCACATGTATTTATGTATATATACATTTTTAGGGTTGCACAATTGTGCTGATTGTTTTTCATGTAAAGTCCATGCTATATTTGGTGATTCAAAATTCACCCATCATTTATTATTTAACTTATTTCAATTTTTATTTTGTTTCTCCTGCCACTAAAGTTACTTAAATTTCCATTTTCAGAAAATCCTATTTGCCAAGAGTAATGGATGTTTTTCTGAAATGAAAAACTGACCACACATTTTCTTTCTTAAAAATCCTTAAGCAGCAACCCATCAGCAAAAAATTAAAGTCCAACTTCCTTAATGTGGCATAAAAGGTCTTCCAGCAGAAAGTCCCCGCCAACTTCTCCATCTCTTCTCTCACCCAGTGCCACACCTGATCACCACCTCTAGGCGCTCACGAATAAACTCAGAAAGAGATTATCTTTACTTTGCAGTCCCACCAGCAGTGTATGAGTATCCCTATCTCTCCACATTCATGCCAACATTTATTGTTGTGGGGCTTTTTGATAAAGGTCATTTTTACTGGAGTTAAGTGATATCTCATTGTGGTTTTGATTTGAATTTCCCTGATGATTAGAGATATTGAGCGTTTTTTCATATGTTTGTCAGCCATTAGTCTGTCTTCTTTTGAAAAGTTTCTGTTCATCTTCTTTGCCCACTTTTTGATAGGGTTGTTTGATTTTTTCTTGCCGATTTTCCTGAGGTTTATATACATTCTAGTTACTGGCCCTTTATGAGATGCGTAGCATGCAAATCTTTTCTCCCATTCTGTAGGTTGTCTGTTTGCTCTCCTGATAGTTTCCTTGGCTGTGCAGAGGATTTCTAATTTTTTTTTTTATTTCAGGATATTATGGGGGCACAAACATTTTGGTTACATGTTATATCAGGTTCAACTTACTTATTTTTGTTTTTGCTGTGATTGCCTTTGGGGTCTTCTTCATAAATTCTTTGCCTAGACCAATGTCTATAAGAGTTTTTCCAACATTTTCTTCTAAAATCGTTATAGTTTCATGCCATAGGTTTAAGTCTGTTATCCACCATGAGTTGATTTTTGTGAGAAGTGAGAGGTGTGGATCCTGTTTCAGTCTTCTACATGTGACTATCCAATTTTCCCAGCATCATTTATTGAATAAGGATTCTTTTTCAAGTCTATGATTTTGTCTGCTTTGTTCAAAGATTAGATGGCTGACGATGGTTTTATATCTGGGTTCTCAGTTCTGTTCCATTGGTCTGTTTCTGTTCTTGTGTCAGTACCATGCTGTTTTAGTTACTGTAGCCTTGTAGCATAGCTTGAAGTCTGGTAAATTGATGCCTCCCAATTTGTTCTTTTTGCTTAAGATTGCTTTTGCTATACAGGGTCTTCTCTGGTTCCATACAAAGTGTAGAATTATTTTTTCTAGATCTATGAAAAATTATATTGGTATTTTAATAGGGATTACATTGAATCTGTAGATCACTTTGGGTAACACAGATATTTTAACAATGTTGATTCGGCCTACCCATGAGCATGGTATGGTTTTCCACCTGTTTATGTCCTCTGCTATTTCCTTCCTCAGTGTTTCTCAGTTCTCCCTATAGAAGTCTTTTACCTCCTTAGTTAAATATATTCATAGGTATTTTATTTTCTTTGTTGCTATTGTGAAGGGTATTCAGTCTTTGATTTGGTTCTCAGTTTGACTGTTGTTGGCATATAGGAAGGCTACTGATTACTGTACATTAATTTTGTAACCTGAGACTTTGTTCAATTTGTTTATCAATTCCAGTAGTCTCATGGAAGAATCTTTGGGGTTTTCTCGATATAAGATCATATTGTCAGCAAAGTTTGACCTCTTCTGCCCCCATTTGGATGCCCTTGATTTCCTTCTCTTATCTGAAAACTCTGGCTAGGACTTCCAGCACTATGTTGAATAGAAATGGTGATAGACAGCAACCTTGTGTGGTTCCAGTTCTAAGGGGGGATGCTTTCGATTTTTTCCCATTTGGTATGATGTTGGCTGTGGGTTTGTCATATATGGCTTGTATCAATTTTAGGTAAGTTCTGTCTATGCTTACTTTGTTCTTATTAAAAAAGGGTGCTGAATTTGGTCGAATGTTTTTTCTGCATCTATTGAGAAGATCATATCATCTTTGTTTTTGCCTCTATTTTTGTAGTGAATACATTTATAGATTTGCATATGTTGAACCATCCCTGAATCTCTGGGATGAAGCCCACTTGGTAGTGATGGATTATGGTCTTTGATAAAGCACCTGAATTTGGTTTGCTAGGGAATTGCTGAGAATTTTTGCATCTATATGCATAAGGGATATTGGTCTGTAGTTTTCTTTTTTTGTTGCTTCTTTTCCTAGTTTTGGTATCAGGGTGATGTTGGCTTCACAAAACAGCTTGAGGAGGATTTCTTTCTTCCCAATGTTGTGGAATAATTTCTGAAGGATATGCACTAGTTCTTCTTTGTAGGTCTGATAAAATTCAGGTGTGAAACCACGTGGTCTGGGACTTTTCTTTTTAGGAAAGTTTTTATTGTTGCTTCAATTTTGGTATGTGATAGTGGTCTGGTCAGGAATTCTAGTATGACCTCTGTGGAAAGGAATATGGAGATACCTCAAAGAGCTACAAGTAGAACTATCATTTGATCCAGCAATCCAATTACTGGGCATCTACCCAAAGGACAAAAAGACATTCTATAAAAAAGACATCTGCACTAGAATGTTTATAGCAGCAGAATTCCCAATTGCAAAGATGTGGAAACAGCCCAAGAGCCCATCAATACATGAGTGAATTCACAAAATGTGGTATATGTATACCATGGAATCCTACTCAGCCACAAAATACAGTGGTGATCTAGCACCTCTCATATTATCGTAGATAGAGCTGGAGCCCATTCTACTAAGTGAGGTGTCACAAGAATGGAAAAACAAGCACCACATGTACTCAACATTAAACTGGTATTAACTGATCAACATTTATATGCACATATGGTAGTAACATTTATCAGGTGTCGGGCAGATGGGAGCAGGGAGGAGGGGATGGGTACATGCACACCTAATGGGTGCAGTGCGCAATATCTGAGGGATGGACACGCTTGAAGCACTGACTCAGGTGGGGCAAAGGCAATATTTGTAACCTAAACATTTGTACCCCTGTAATATGCTGAAATTTAAAAAAAAAGAAAAAAGAAAAAAAAAAAGATAGTCTTTAGAGTCTTCTTGGACCTCTTCATGACTCCAAGATTTCTTTAGACTACCTTATAGCTTGAGCAACCTTAAAAGTGTACATACTGTTTATATAATGGTCAATTCTCAGTCTTTTCTTTCTTCCCCATCTCAATAAATGAAAGCTACATTATTCTAGTTGTTAAGGCTAAAAGCCTTAGAGTCACTTTTGACTCGTCTTTTTCTCTTACATTTCACATCCACCCCATAAATCAAATTCTGTTGGTAACACTTTCAAAATCCAGAATCCAACATTTCTCACCCCTATACTGTCACTATCTTGATCTGAGCCACCATCATTTCTCATCTATTTTATTGCAATAGTCCTTTTTGCTATGCTGTCAGTTTCTTGTTTCTGTTCTTGACTTCCTGCAATTTATCCTTAAATAATATCCAGAGCAAATTTTTTAAAAAGTAGCTCAAATTATACCATTATTCTACTTGAAATCTTTCAGCGTTTCCCCATTTCACTCAGATACTCCTAATCCATAATCTTTTTCTATGTTATTGTCTATACACTGTTTTTTGCATTGTGTATTTACTTGGATCTCTCACCCCACTAAAAAATTTCCAGGTTCTTATCCATTTTGTTTTCCAACCTATCAAACATTCTCAAAAATATTGTAAGTTGTTTTACATACATATATATGTAAATGTGTGTATACATATATGTGTGTATGTATATATATATATATATAGAGAGAGAGAGAGAGAGAGAGAAAGAGAGAGAGAGAGAAAGGAAGTAAATGCTCTTTCTCTTGCAGATTTATTATTCACTAACATCTAAGATAGCCTAATGCGTTCAGATATATCCCTATCACTATAATCGAAAAAAAAATTATTCTTGGGTCAGAATACTCTCTCAATTTAAATTTAAATTTCTTATAACCCACAGCACCCACTTCTAATCACCCAGTGTATTTGCTGTGTTCACAAAACAGCAAGCAAAATACCAATGTGATTGGAGCACAGAAAATGAAGGAGAGAGATGGATGAAATTAAGTCAAGGAAGCATTTAGAAGTTAGGGACAGATTGTTTACAGCTCTGTGGGCCATGGTAAGGATTTTGACCTTTATTCTGAGAGAACTGGGTATATTACAGGGCTGTGAGCCAAGTGAATGACATTATGTTACTTTATGCTTTAAAGTAATCCCGTTGAGTGCTGAGTGAAGAATACAATTTAAGGGGGCAAAGGTAGAAGCAAGGGGTTTGGTTAAGAATCTGTTGCTGTAATCTTAGCTCTCACAGAGGTGAGATGATGACAACTAGTATTAGGGAGGTAAAGGTTAAAAACTAGCATTAGTTAGGTAGTGGTGGA